TAAAGCTTTCATTTTATTTTACCTGCCATTCCCCTAGCAAGTAATTATTGGTAAAGCTTTCATTTTATTTTACCTGCCATTCCCCTAGCAAGTAATTATTGGTAAAGCTTTCATTTTATTTTACCTGCCATTCCCCTAGCAAGTAATTATTGGTAAAGCTTTCATTTTATTTTACCTGCCATTCCCCTAGCAAGTAATTATTGGTAAAGCTTTCATTTTATTTTACCTGCCATTCCCCTAGCAAGTAATTATTGGTAAAGCTTTCATTTTATTTTACCTGCCATTCCCCTAGCAAGTAATTATTGGTAAAGCTTTCATTTTATTTTACCTGCCATTCCCCTAGCAAGTAATTATTGGTAAAGCTTTCATTTTATTTTACCTGCCATTCCCCTAGCAAGTAATTATTGGTAAAGCTTTCATTTTATTTTACCTGCCATTCCCCTAACAAGTAATTATTGGTAAAGCTTTCATTTTATTTTACCTGCCATTCCCCTAACAAGTAATATAAAAAACTTGATTAAAAATTATTTATTAAGACAATAAGTAATGAAGAAAAACTGGATAAATTTTTAAAATTTAGTCTAAAATCATAAAATGTTATTTTTATTAAATAAAATTTAAAGATAATAAAGTAAATTTAACTTTATTAAATACATAATCAAAAATTATAAATTTTAATCCAAAAAAAATAATAAATAATTAATGACTACAGATAAAATAACTTTTTTCAAGCTACATATATTTAATTTTATCATAACGAATCGAGGTAAGGGGGTAAAGTTCCCGAACCCAAATTCAAAAAATGAAATAAAAATAATTTTAAAAAAAAATATTATAGTAAAATATCCCCTCCTAGAAATAATATACAACAAAGTAATTATACTTATGAATAAAATTCTGCTATATTCAGCTAAAAAACTCATCGCAAAACCTCCTCTTCTATACTCAACATTAAAGCCAGACACTAACTCAGATTCCCCCTCAGCAAAATCAAAAGGAGTCCGATTAGTTTCAGCTAAACTTGAAACTTAATCATATTAAAGATAAAGGTAATAATAAAAAAATTAAATAAATTTTTATTTGATATTTTATTAAAATCCTAATATAGAAGCCTTTAAAATAAATATTAAAAATGATAAAAGAATTAAAGCTAAACTTACTTCATACGAAATTGTTTTGAGCTACAGCTCGTAAACTTCCCAATAAAGCATAATTTGAATTTAGAAGCCCAACCCGCCAATATTACAGTGTAAACACCTAACCTAGAAACTCTCAAAAAAAATAATATTGATAAATTAAATCTTAAATTAACAGAAAAAAAAGGCATACAAATTCATAAAAATAAAGATAAAAAAAAATTTATTACAGGAGAAAAATAATATAAATTAAAATTTGATATTAAAGGAAAAGTTTGCTCTTTAGTAAATAATTTAATGGCATCTCTAAATGGTTGGACTAACCCTAATATGCCAACTTATTGGGACCCTTACGAATATGAATATAACCCAAAACCTTCCGCTCTACTAAAGTCAAAAGGCCACCCCAATCAAACACAAAGTAAGAAATGAACCTAGACAAATAGTATTATAATAAAGCTTTAAAATTACAGTATTATTGTAAAAATAAATGACATATAAAAGATCGAAAATCTATCGCACGATTCTGCCAAAATCAAAGGGTACCCTGTTTCCTAATAAAGTAGTTGTTAAGATTCATCCGTGCGTACGAAAATATTAAGGTAAATGAAAGAGAGAAACCACCTGGCGCACACCGGTGGTAAACTCATGATCATGTAAAAGTTTAAAGGTCGAAAAGACCGTAAGAGGGCCAGCGGCGGCACCCAAAAAAGGAAGGGGAAGCCAACAGTCGAGGGCGCAAGCGGGAGAGGCGAGGAGAACGCGGGAGACAGAGGACGCGGGGAGCCCGAAGGTAAGGAAGCGGACAAGGAGGACGAAGAGCGCAAGGAGACAGAAAGGAAGGAGGGAAAGGGAAAAAAAGGGCAAGGAAGGGGCAAGCACCCCAAGGATAAGAAGGAAAAAAAGGAAAAAGGGGGAGACGAAAAAAAAAGGAAAAGGGGGAAAGAGGAAACGCGAGAGGGGCGGCGCGGCGGTGAAAGGAAGGGGAGCGGGGGAACGAAAAAAGAAAGGGGGAAGGGGGAAAGAGAGACAGAAAGGGGGGGAGCCAACCAGGCAGGCCAGCGGCGAAGGAAGAAACGAAGGATGAGGCGACCGGAGCACGGGCAAAAGACCGCGGCCAGGGAAAGCCGCAGAGGGCAGGCGAGACCGAAAAGGAAAAGCAGAGGACAGGGGGGAAGAAACAGGGGAAAAAGAAGGGGGCCGAAGGCCGGGAGAAGAAGCGGAAAGGGGGAAAGAAAGGGAGAGGAAAAGGAGACGAAGGGGACCAGGAGACGGAAGGGGAAAAAGGGGAAGAGGAGGGGAAGGAAAAAAGGGAGAAAGAGAGACAAAGAAGAGGGAAGGAGAAAGAAAGGAGAAACAGGGCAGGAGGAGAGAAACGGGGAAGCGGACAAAGGAAAGGGGAAGACAGAGGAAAGAATAAAAGGAGAGTAGGAAGCTTAGCCCGAAGAAGAGAAATAGAAAAAAGAAAAAAGACGAGGAAGGAGATGGACGGAGGGAGATGAAAATAAATTTGGTCTTAAAAAATAGATAAAACGAATAACTTGGATTACCAAAAAGGATTAATAATATTATACAACAATAAAAAAATAAATTTTAACTCTTTAAATTCGAAACAAGAATAATTAATGTTTATTTAGTAACCCTGATACACAAGGTACAAAAATTAATTTTCTTAAAACTAAATTATTCTCACAATACTATAAACTATCATAAAAAAAATTTTTTCTTTAAAAATAATAAAACAAAAATTTACTTATTTTAAATTTTTTAATTAAAATACTTAAATTTTTAATAAAATAAATCTTCAAGTTAAATTGAATTTCACAACTAACTTTTTAATGTAAATAAAATACTTCTATCAAGCTCTAACTTGTCTTTCTAGAGACACTTTCCAGTACATCTACTTTGTTACGACTTATTTCATTTTAAATGAAAGCGACGGGCGATATGTACATATTTTAGAGCTTTAATCATCTTAAAAAAATCTAAAAAATTACTCTCAAATCCAAATTCAAATTTTTTTAACAAAATTATTTTAAAATAAATTTATTGTAACCCATTTCTTCTTTATTATAAACTACACCTTGATCTGATTTATTTTTTAATAAAAATTTTAAATATTTATAATTCTATTAAAATATTTAAACTACGACGATATATAAACTAATAAATAAAGTGCATCTAATCGTGGACTATCGATTATAGAACAGGTTCCTCTGAAAAGACTAAAATACCGCCAAATTTTTAATTTTCAAGAACATAACTAATACTAATTAAGTAAAAAAATTTACATTTTTAATAATAGGGTATCTAATCCTAGTTTAAACTAAAATTTTTAAGCTTCGTTTTACTATTCAAATTTTATCTAAAATTTAAAATTTCACCTAATAAATTTTATTACAAAATTATTTTTAAAACTAACTTTTACTAAAAAATTAATTTATATTATTGTATAACCGCAACTGCTGGCACAAATTTGTTAATATTAAACTCTATTCCTAAATCTAAATTTCTTTAAATTTAATTTTACTTACTGCGAATAAATTCATAAAATATTTTTTAAATAAATTTTAATTTCAACCAAAAATTTGCATATAAAAAAAGAATAACTTAATTTTAGACTAAAAAAATCTTTTCTTTTTAAAAAAAAAATAAACATAAACATAACATTAACTATTTTTATATCTGGAAAATTCTTATTTTATTGCTTATTTTATAAAAATCTAAATTTTATCATTTAAAAATTAAATTCCCAAAAAGTTAATCCCATTTATTTAATGAAAAATTACGATATAAGCTTCATTTAATGAATAAATTTATTAATTTTAATTTATTCAATATAATTATTAAAATATAAATTAATTATCAATCTTATTAACTTTTCCCTTTTATAAATAATTTAAATTAATTAACATTTCTTAAACTCTTTAACAAACAATTCCTAACAAAATTATTTAAATCAAATTTTGATTATCTAACAAGCAATTCCTAACAAAATTATTTTAATCATATATTACAATTTAATTAAATTAAATTTTAAAAATAGTTAAAATAATTTATTTTTTATTAACAAATTATTACTAATAAATTATTTTTACATCTTTTTACCCTGCCCTCTAACCAATAATGAATTTTTTTAGTACTCTTTCACTACCCGAATAAATTAACTTTAATTATTATCAGAAATTAATTTATATTTAAATACTCTCAAATTTTATAAATACCACTTTTTTATACCGCATAAAAAAAATCAATTATCAACATAAAATTAAAATCTCGCCCCTATATAATTTTTGCTTTACAAACAAATTTAATTTTTAAATATTCGTTTTTTCGTACAAATTTAAATTCAAGTAATGGAAATTAGGGTTTTTTTTTTTTTTTTCATTAATTTTAGCCTGTTTATTAAAAATTATATATATATATAATAAATAATATTAATTTTTATTATGAATCTAATAGACATTCAATAATGATAATTAAATTATTAATATTCTTCTTTCTCTTTCACTATATGTATTTAATGAATACCTAAAATTTCCTGTATATTTAGGGTTTTATATTAATCCAGTAAGGGCATCGATATTTCAATTAAATATTGAATACTTCTTTATATTGCTTAGAATTTATCTTTTTATATATTATATAAATTATAATATATATATATATAAATAATGAATATGTATTTCATTAATTTTTATTTAGAAAAAATTAATTTAAAAACATTTTTCGAGTTTTTTTCTTTGCCGAAGATTTCCTAAAGTCGATTTTTTTGCAAATTTTAAAAAAAAAAAAAAAAAGCCCCAAAATCGAAAATTCAATCGATTTTTTGGACTTTGATTTTTCAAAAAAATTATATACAAAATTCCAGGAGTCATTTTTCCAATCAGTTTTATGTGAGGCACTTATTTTGACATAAGAAATATTTGTAATTGTGAAGTGCCTGAATAAAGGATAATTTTGATAGAATTAAAAATGTGAGCCCCCCCCACCTTCACAATTCGGTCTATATCCAACAGAATTAAACTGTTTCTCTAAATATCAAAAATTTATGTACATCTTTATACTTGGATATAAAAAGATAAGCTAATAAAGCTATTGGGTTCATACCCCACTTATGAAGATTTCACTTCTTCTCTTTTTAATTATAAAATTATATAAAATATTATTTATAAATACTTTAATTTTAGGAACTTTAATTACAATTTCTTCATATTCTTGATTTAGAATATGATTAGGATTAGAAATTAATCTTTATCAATTATCCCATTAATAGCAAAAAAAGATAATTTATTCCCTTCTGAATCATCCATAAAATACTTTATTACTCAAGTTTTAGCTTCTTTAATATTTTTATTTATTATTATTATATCTATAAATTTTCAAGAATTTTCTCCCCAAAATTCTTCAAATTTTTTAATAATAATTTTAAATTCTTCTTTATTTTTAAAAATAGGAGCAGCCCCCTTTCACGCCTGATTCCCCGAGGTGATAGAAGGATTAGACTGAGGTAATAGATTTATTATACTTACTTGACAAAAAATCGCCCCCATAGTAATTTTCATGTATAATTTAAATATAACTTTTTTTTTATCATGAATTATTGTATTTTCCTCAATTATTAGAGGAATTATAGGCCTTAATCAAATTAGATTACGAAAAATTTTAGCTTATTCTTCCATTAATCATATTGCTTGAATACTCGCTAGAATAATAAATTTTAAAATAATTTGAATTTTTTATTTTATTATTTATTCAATTATTAATTTAAATTTAGTAGTAATTTTTTGATATTTAAATATTTTTTTCACTACCCAATTATTTTTAATTTTTAACTCTAATAAAATATTCAGATTTTTCTTTTTTATGAATTTTTTATCTTTAGGGGGCTTACCTCCTTTCTTAGGATTTCTTCCAAAATGACTAACTATCAATGGTTTAATTAATAGAAATTTTTTTAGTTTAAGAATTATTTTAATTGTTTTTACATTAGTCACATTATTTTTTTATATACGATTAACTTTTTCAGCATTTCTTTTAATTAAAACAGAAATACTCTTAAATTTTTATTTTTCTATAAAATTTTGAATAATTTTTTTTAATGTATTAGCTTTAACTGGGTTAATTTATTGTACAATAATGATTAATTTTTAAATTTTAATATTTTAGTAAATAAAATTAAATTTTGAGC